CCCCCCCAAAAGCCATAAACCAGTGGTTCTCAACCCCTTCACGAATTCAAATGCAGCCCACCATGCTGAACACAATTTAGAAAATAACTTTCAGTTTTACAATTCATTTTATTTTTTACATTAATTTAAAAATGTACTAAACAAATATAAGCTTAAATGTTTTTATGTAAAATAATTTTGTTTTTCATATATTATTTTCAGACATGAGCAGACCTGTACTCACGTAGCCTAATTAACATTACGCATTTAACAAACACTTACAAGTGCGCACTTTGGCAGAATTCAATTCAAATAGTCATCAGCAGCTATTAGTTCGGTAAAATTGAGCATCAGAATGGATACATTTGTTATTAAGGGAGAAAAACTAAATGTGGAAAATGCCAGCGAAGGAACGCATACAAACAAGAGTAGTCGCAGCAGTGAAGGTAGGCGAGTGCTGGACTTTCGGCATCAACTTTCAGTTTGCCCCGCCACTCACTTGAAGATGTTCAGGCTAGAGCCCTGCACGGGCCTCAAATATATGACGTTCAGGCCCTAGCCCGGCCCTTGTCCGACAACTTATCAGAATTACCGGGCCGAGCCCATCTTTTTTTTCCCCCTTCTCCCAAAACAGCTTATACTACGGTTTCAGCTATATTAAAATAGCTCAGTTTTGTATGTAATGGCAAAGTGATTATATTTCGTTTCGTATTTTTAAAGGGGTCATATGATGCTATTTTAAAGATCATTATTTTGTGTATTTGGTGTAACAGAATATGTTGATATGCTTTAATGTTCAAAAACACATTATTTTTCAAATACTGTACATTATTGTAGGTCCTCTATGCCCCGCCTCTCTCAAACACGTCGTTGATGTGACCCTGTTCCCCTCACATACACACACACACAACGCGTTACTCTGCGCTGCACAAAACTCCGCATTTGAACAGTCAATAGCAAATACTTAAACTTATAACAAAACATACTTACAGTCGCTGATTCAGAAGCTCCAGATTGTCATTGCAAAGTCGGAATTTACCCTTTTTTTTTTTTTTTTTAAAAAAAAGAATGCACACCTGGCCAGCTTAGGCGTGGTTGACTCTTAACTTTTATAAAGAATATCTCTTTGGATTTGAGACTTTAGTCTTTGTAACTTTACAGATCTTCTTTACGCACCAAGAGCTTGTAACACTCCAAAGAGAAAGGAAAACTTGAAATCGCATCATATGACCCCTTTAAGTTAATTTAGAAAAACGTTTGGACGTTTTTTTGGTCGTTAAATATAAGTTTTTGTTTTTTAAAGCAACGACCAAGCGGCCAGCAGCAGACAGTGAGCTGATCATAGCCTATGTTTGATCAATTTAGCCTTCTCAAATCATCACAACTTACCTAAAATAAAATCTATAGATATAAAACAGTTCGAGCATATAACAATGTTTTAGCGTTAAACCTAGATAAATGTGCGCCATATCCAATAGTTTGTGCGGAGAGTAGAACTTTGCAGGACATGGTGGCGCCAGCGTGATCACTTGCATTTTTTTCAGTGGATACGCCGTAATTTTTACTCATAAAGGTAAGAGTAATACAACCGTAAAGGGTCTACTTTTATTTGTGTGCACTCACAATATCAACAAAATGTTGTGCTTTTATAAAATATATATAACAGTATAGACATTATATTTAACATAATAAATTAAGTGAATACAGTTTTCTTATTTGAGGTTTCCTTGTAAGAGTGTAATGGCAGTAATACAGTGGTATAATAGTATGGGTTTGTTATTTCATGCTCATATATTCAGCTGTTCAGTGTACTGTGTGTCTGTCTTTGTTTTATTGAAGCTCAAACCCCCTACAGGAGGAATGTGTATTACCAGACACAGAGTAAGTCAGCAGATTTGCACTGATGCATAATGTTGGCTATAATGTTATGATGCATAATGTCTTTTTATTATTTTTTTATTTTTTTTTAAATATATTACTAGCACCATATTGGTACACAAGAGGTATGTTTCATTTCCTTCTTATTAGTTACCATTTAGTTTAAAGATTTAGTTTTCCTAAATTGCAGTAGTAAGTGTGCAGATGATTATATTCTATATATACACATGCATACACATATATGCTGTTCAAAGCCATGTTTCTCTCTTTGTTTTACCATTTTATTTAAGCTCAAACACCCTACAGGAGGAAAGTGTATTACCAGACACAGAGTAAGTTAGAAGATTTGCACCAGTGTTTCCCCTGCCATTATATTAGGGGGGCAGCCCCCGCCCCCCCCCCTTGAAGGTCAAGTTAATTTTATTTTATTTTATTTTACCTATAGCGCCTAGGGGTGGAACGGATAAACTTACTCACAAATCGGTTTGTATCACGGTTTTAGAGTCACCGTTTCGGTATGGTTCGGTATGTGCTATGTTTAGGGAAAAACTATACTGTCAAATAAAAATAAAGAAAATAAGAATAATCTAACTACACGCAACAGCACAAATAATACAATAGAGTAAAGATACAAATAAAATAAACAGTGCTTTTCAGGTTTTTTAGGTAGATCTAACATTAGTTTTTAGGTACAGAAATTGAATAAAATAATGAAATGTAAAACAGCATTGCATATTTGACTGTATAAATTAAAGATTAATCTTTATTAAAGTTACAAAAGCTATTCAATCAAGAGCAGTGAGTGATTTCTTTGTTGTTGCTGTTTGATTAATTTTAAGAAAGTGCTGTCATTTTAAGAGAATGCACTGATCCAGTACGTTCAGCTGGCTATGTCTGCTATAGGATACTTACCAAGACGGGCATTTTGACATAATGTTTGTGTGAATTTGTCCATTTAAACACAATACTTCAGAGAGAGCTTAATATTTGAGCGCGTTCTGAGGCGCGGGTTTGCAGGCTTCGGATGAGCGCACGCACAAATCTTCTCACTGCACGCGCGAGCTCGCGTCCTCTGGCTCTTAAATGTTTAAACTGGCAAAGCTTACATGAGTTTAGTTTAAACA